TAACATGATATAACATGATATAACATGATATAACCAACTTAGTTATCGTAAACGGGGGCCCCACTTTGTAGTCATTTATTTGTGCCGTATATAGCGGAGTTGGGAGGACCAGCTTTACCGACGAAGACCTGACTAACGAAACAAATGTTTCATTTTTGGTAAATGATTTCGCGAGTCATCCATTGATCCATAGGCTATCCCCAAATTAGCAATAGAAATTATTCCATTGATTGGATAGCCTACAATAAAATATATCCCCAAATTAGCAATATCCCCAAATAGCTAATCATGTTCCCCTCTCAAAATTCCGTAGTTTTTGTGGAACAAACTGGTATCCTTGCGCTGTTGCGCCACGGAAAATATGTGATAAATATTAAATATCCTTGCGCTGAATTATATGACAGTGCAATTTTATGAAGTCTAATGTAATTTGTCATTTTAACACGTCTGCGGCTGCGGTGTACTTCTAAACTTGCAGTTTGAATGCATGTCATTCTCAAGATGCACAATGAATCACATTCAGATAAGGCCCCGTGCCCAGAGCCATAACAATGCCCAGCTGTAATTTGCATTCGACAAGTTTTTTTTAGGTTTTACATGGTTTTACTACGTACTAGGAAGTACATGTTTTTTATTTATTGTTGAGTGTATATATAATATAAATATATATACATATGTTTTGAACAAAGACAACACGGATGAGTGCAACGAATTGTGGTTTTATAGCACACCACAACCTTTTCTTGCAGAATATGGCTTTGGCTTTTTAGAAGTAGGGTTTTTTTTGCTTTGCAACAATCTGTAAGCAAATGCAAACGCCATTTTATAAGGTACGCGGTCGGACAGTTGTATATTTTTACCCCCATACTCGTATTTGATAAAACAATGCAATAACAACACCTTTTGATGGTGAAAACCAATGAACAGCAACTGTTTTTTCCATCTGCGTACATAACATGGGATCTCGAAAATTCTCCCTTTGTAGGGTAACACTTTTTGCAGCATTTTTCGCCCAGAAACATCTTCAACGCTACTACCGCGCTGTGCGGCGCAGGAGGGTGCTGCGCCGGTGCGTTGTGGCCACTGCCCTTGGGCAGGTGCTCCATGGTGGATACTCGGGGGTACCTCAAAACTCTTATATCCTGAGATATTCTAAGAGGGAACAGGATCTGGTTGGTGGTTTGGAACATTGGTTTAGTATGGTTTAGTATGGGGTAATGATGGTTAAAAAAGGTTAATAATGGTTAATAATCACTGGTTGGTGGTTTGGAACCATGGAATTTTATGAATTTCCATTGGGAATGAAAAAATCCCAACTGACTTTCACTCCATCATTTTTCAGAGGGGTAGGGCTCAACCACCAACCAGATTATTATTAACCATCATTAACCATATAATTAATAGCCATGTAATAGCTATCATTAACCATAATATGGTTGTTGGTAGGTAAAATGGTTTAAAATGGATGATAAGCCATGAAATTTCGCATTTTGAGGTATCAGAACCGAGTTCTTGGATTTTTCAGCCATGGAAATAGTGATACCCTCCAGTCATACAAAAAGCTATGGAAAATGGCTCATCTACAGAAAAAAACTCACCAACAACCCGACGTATTTCAAGGAAAGGAGTCCTTTTACTACTGTCGTTTTCCCTTTCGGGGGGGATTCATTTCTTTTTCCTTGGTGCTGTAATAGATGTAATAGTGATTACCCACCTAATATGTGAAATGTATTGATTGAAAAAAGAACCTGGCAAAACGTGACATTGATTTTCTTTAATTAATAGAGGCACATATATTACAAGTTATAATTAAGTAGAAAATCTTTAAAATCAAATTTGACAAATAAATATATTAAAGCTTGGGCGGGAACCAATATACTATGAATCCACTTTCTTCTACGTATGCTATGCTATATGTTTCTGTGATTTTTGTTGGCCTGTGGGGAGTCCATGATTCCGTGAAAGCTTGCGTGGAGATGATCGGAATCAGACTGGAAGGCCATCATGACTCTGGGTAAATTATAACGACCTCACTGCGACCTCACTGGAATCATTGTTAATAAGAGGAATCATCCCCAAGATAGCCTTATTTCAGGTTAGTGAATTATTATAATTTACCCAGATGACTGTAATTTCCACCCGAAAGGGTAATCCATCATGGTTTGCTGGCAAATTCCCTAAGAAGTTCAAAAAAAAAAACATCCATGAATTTTCCATAGCCTGCATGTTCCTAGGTCAATCTTACATGGATACCTACTAATCCTAACTAGTCTTTTGGTATGAAAATGGGAATATCTACGTTCACCAGCAAAGAATTGGTCATTTTTTGCAGGGTATCTGGCTGATTGGCAATGATATGAGGTAAGATTGGCAATTGTGAACGGGATTCCCACAGATTTAAGGTGATGTTCCCACGATATCACCAACACATCTCTGGGAATCACTAAGATTGGCAATGGTTCTGTGGGGATTTCGGAGCCCGCAGCCATGCTTGATTCCTGGTCACTGAGACTCAGTGCATCAGCGGCTTGGCCGGATGTTGGACGCCGAAATCGAGGTTTACTGGGAAAGACATTTGAGGATCCTGTAAAATACCAACTAGAATTATTGGAAAGCAACAAAAATCCCCTCTGGTAAATTAACAGTTTGACCCTGAAAATAGAGCATTTTTAGTGGAAACCAGTCTTCCAACCCCGATGACTGCCAGGGTCTATGTTAGTTTACCGGAGGGTAAGGCTCCAGTGATTCTTCGATCCCCTGGTTCTTCAATCCTTTGGTCGTCCTCTGACTTTGTTTGATGCAGTTACAAGATGCTGCAATGCAAATACAGCTGAAATGAGAATTTCTTTGTTCCATGAGATGGGTGTACTTAAAAATCATGTAACTGCGACAATTTGTCTAATTCCGGGATGCTGCACATACCATTCAAAATACCTTGCAAATTGGACACAAAAGCACCACCACTGCCAGCCGAACAGCACCAGCAACACGCCGCAAACCCTGACCTACTTTACTGCACTGGCCACGGTTTTGCTGCTTAATAACATGCAAAGTTGAGGTAGAGGATCAAAAGATGCTGCAAATGTGACGCAGTTTGTTTCTACGATTGTTTAACATGCTGTGAATACCATGCAAAACGCAGATGGGAAATATCCCATTACATCCAATGAATCTCATCAGCCAGGTGTTGCGCAACTGAAGCGTGCCTAGATGGAGCACTGCGGGGAACCCGAGTTCGAAGTGGATGTCCATAATTTTTTTGGGCTTATACCATGGTTATAGTCTATAGATGTCTATAGTGACATCCCGTTTATCATGTTTTATCCAATTTAATGAATATATATATATATATATATATCCGTCAAAGACAAATTTCACAGCACCCAATTGCGTAATTGTTTTACGAACGATTCCTCGAATCGCACGGCTCAGATTCTCCGGTCAGGTCTGCGTTGAAGAGCCGTTGAAGAGCCGGATGTGTCGAAGACGACGCGGTTGAAACGATACGTGCTGCGGTATCCGTGGAAGATCAATCCCAAAGATCAAAAAAAAATCCACAGGATGGTCGACTCCGTTTGCGAGACGTTGACTCCCTAATATCAATGGTAATTTCATTGTAAGGAAATATCCCCAGAACATATAGCCTTATATGGTACAGTAGCTCCATTTTAGGATCCTGAAATTACCCATTGATAATATGGTCTACAAAAAATACTCAACGTTCTTCTTACTTGTGCTATATAAACGTAGGGAATTTTCGGGAATGATCAACAATAACTTTCAGCTTCGTCTCCGAAGCCAGGAAAACTGGTAAAAATTCTCATCCCAATGGACAGCCGTTGAGAAAGGAACGTAGTCTTGGATGGTTGAGATATGACTAGATATGGTCATTATATGGTCATTATGAGTTACTGTAAGTTTATGACTCGAGAATCTGAAGCCCATAGATGAATTTGTTGGCTCTAGTAGCAAGAAAGACAAGTTGTGTAGTTGCAGACTGGTGACCGGAACATATGACAAGATGTTGGAAGAGCGTGCTTTTGGCGTCTTTCAATAGCCCCCAGGGTGGTTTCCTGTGTGTACACATACAATTATAATTTTGGATATGCATGAAAATGTGTTTACCAATTCTTCAAACTACACACACACACACAGAGTTTAGTTGATTTCTACCTGCAGATACGAGACGACCTGAGATGTGTGGCTCCACTAAGCAACGATTCTCCGCGCAGTGCTTTCGCTTCAAGGGGAGAGGGGCTAAGATCAGGAAACATCCAACCAGATGGGGTAGATAAAAGAAGTGGGTATATATATATACCCTCTGGTAAACTAACATAGCTATTGAACATCACCATGCTATTAATGGGAAAATCAACTATTTCGACTGGGCCATTTTCAAGTTCGCGAACTGTTTGTCATCACCAGAGGGTACTTCTTGAGTATCTGGTTGGTGGTTTGGAACATGGCTTTTATTTTCCATTTCATGTATGGAATGTCATCCGAAACCCATTGACGAACTCACTCCATCATTTTTCAAGATGGTGTTTTATTGCACCACCAAGCAGTTGAGTGTGGATCTATTGCATCATATGTGGAGCTATTGCGTTGCCATCTTTGATGTTTGGATGACAATTAAATACTCCCAATGAGTAGTGGATCTACGCAACAACATGAAAATTCAGGATGTCAAGGATACAGCAGCTTTGGCCAAGATCCCAACCTGCAATGGCACCACCACCTACCCGGCCTGGTAAACATACCAAAAACGATGGGCCAAAATCCGTTTGATCCCTATCCTCTTGTCACCACCTGTCGATCCATGCAACCATTTTTTCATGTCCGGAATCCCTCAAAGAGAGCAACTAGTTTTTTCAACTAGGGCTGTTTGTTTTAAAGTCGCGTTCAATATATTTTCGCAACGTTGCAGCCCCATTTTTGGGATGATCTTCCACTTGAAACCACCAACCTCATCCATCAGCCACGTCAGCCACGTCCACGAACCTGGCTTCGGGGGAAACCGCCACTGCCATGGCTGAACCTCAGAGATACCGTACGTCCGTCCTCCCTGTCTTGTAGGTGGGGCTTTGGCCAGGCGCAATGACAACATCAATGAGCTACTAAATATACCCTCTGGTAATTTAACATAGCTATGGAAAATGACCATTTATAGTGGATTTTCCCATTAAAAATGGTGATTTTCCATAGCTATGTTAAATTACCAGAGGGTACTAAATATACCATGTTGATGGCTTACTGGTGTTGATGAATTATAGCAATTAACAATAATTAAGAGCTATAGCAAGCCATAGTTTATGATTGTTTAGGGATTGTTGTTAATATAACCCATAGTAGTAACAAGCTAATGTTCACAACAATTAAAAGTTTGATAGGTAATTGTTGTAACAACCTGACCCAGGGGATACCGTTAATGGGGAATCCTCTCTGCCAGAAACCACCCATGTGTGATTCGATGGCCACTTGGAGGTACCTACCAGATAAAGATTCGCATATTTTGGAGGGCCCAATTTCAGCGGAAAAAAAAACAGCCCCAAAAAAAATATATGCATGATGGCTTGATCTGGTACGTTTACGTAGCTCTAAAATTTAGGGTCCTGAAATTCCCGTTGATATTCCCCTACTTGAGATAGTCAGATAGTCTATAGTGGTGCCCTCAAATTGAGGATGGCCTATTGTTGAGTGTTTAACTCACTTAACCATACTTAACCAGTAGGTGATTGTAGACTCTACATGACATACAGGAATGGATGTGTCTCAAAATCTAGAATCCCTTATCAACTTGAGAAAATCATGTTCCCTTGTGGAAAAAAATGTCGAATCATGGGACATCCCAGATTTTGAGGCGAACTCGAATCGGATGAGGGACAAAAATGATGAGTGAACCTTTCAGTTTCATAAGCATACCAGGCCGAAATTTCACGACGTGGAAGCATGTGGAACCTTCATATCCCATAGGATCCATGGTGCTATATAAAATATATATGGTGTGCCATGGATCCCATCAACAAAAACCCCAGTCATTTTTTGGCATTTTTCTACCAGCACCGACAAACCGGATCCCCCCAATGGGTATTGAATCTCTAAGATCCGAAGGTGAATTTTTCATTGCATCACCACTTTTTCAAGACCTCTGGTTTTCCGCTTCAATCCTACTATCATCATACCATACTTGGTGGCGAACTAGCCACGAATCGTAAGTGGGTTAGTGAACTACCCAGTTTTTTGAGTGGATTAACCCGCTCCAAAAATCCCATGTCAATCACTGGGGTGAACTAACCCACTTATTAAGTGGAATGAGCCACCAAGTAGACATCCACAAAGATCATCGGTTAGACGCTCTTGTGAAATTTGAATTGAATGATCATGTTTTGACTGCAAGTCATGCTTTGATGTTTAATCGATCAGCATGACATCGTCAGAATTTTTAGCTCCAGCTGCGTCCCATCAAACGCGACCCCAATCTGCTCCATTTTTTTTGGCAGCTTCTGGGATGAATGATCGAAGTAAAGTTCAGATTGATGGTCATCCATGGTCATGACAGTCAGAGGTTCTTACCTCCATAGTCCATCTTTTTATTTCGTTGATCTTGAAGAGATTTGCTCTCCCGAAAAGAGGTTCACTGAGAAAATTCCGCAAATCCCAGCATTTGGATGTTCCCTCAGTGCTGAGACTGACACAAAGATCTTGCTTTGCTACTTGAAAATTGAGGGGGGACACCCCTAAATCATCCTAAATCATCCTAAATCATCCTAAATCATCCTAAATCCACTAAGACCAGTTGAGCATCATTTTCACCTTCAAGATTGCCATCATTCCGGGCTGGTGTATATATCTCCCAATCTTCGCCGCGGCACCGCCGCCCATGGTTTAGGTGAACATCGCAGCATGGCTGAGCCCATTTGCATCGACTTAGACGACGAGGTGCCGTGCCATGCCGTGCCGCCATGGGGGGTTGAACAATGTGGGGCCCCCCCAAACGTTATAAGTTGGTTTATAAGCCTCAATAACTATAGTTATTTTTGTACCATAAACCATAGTGAAATTGGAGTTATGTTCACCAACTTAGCTATCGTTTGGGGGCCCCACTTTGAAGGGGCTGATGAATTCAAAAACCACCAGCGGTAACCAAACATGGCTGGAACAGCAGGACTGACGTTTTTGTATGTTTGTGTATTCTGGCCGAGTGCATTTCGCACAACATGTACCACGGAACAGCATTATCTTCAGACTCGAGATGTGGAATCTAGCCACAGATTGATGATGGAGCTGTGTAACGTTGAAACGTGGTAAGCCCAAATACAATTTTTTTTGGGGGGGTATGGTGTTGAATAATGTTAATACCACCGCAAAAAAAAGGGTACAATACGTGGTGCCCCCTTGGCCACGAAATCGCGACAAGTTGGTGAACATGACTCCAATTTCACGAACTGGTTATGGTACAAAAATAACTATACTTACTGGGGATTAAACCAACGTTCACATAAGGTAAGTAGGTTGAAAAAACTCCAACTTCACCAGGGTTTATATAGGGACTATATCTATAACTATAGTTATATAATGGCGGGGTTTATAAACCAACGTTCACCTCACATTTTGGGGCCCCACATTGTAATTGGATAGTCTGCAGGACACTTGGCGGCCGCCAGACCTCCTATGCGCCTTGGCTGACGCAATGCGGAACATGGATAGGTTACCCTCTGGTATTGACTAACACTTTGCGAACTTGAACATGGCCATTCAGTTCGTTGATTTACCCATGAATAGCATGGTGATTTTCCATGCTTTGTTTGTTTTTCCATGAGGGACTCCCCGCATTGTCCTTATTTTTCCTTGGTTAAACCACAATTTCATGGCCTCATTGGCTCCAAGATCGGTCCAAATCCAAGGCGAGCTCCTGTTGCCGCAACAAGGTGCCAGGGCCATGGGAAAGTCATGAGAAAATCCATGGAATTTATGGTTTCAAACCATGAAAGCTGGTGCCCTGCCTACTCAGTTTTTATAGTTGATTTACCCATTAACAATGGTGATTTTCCAATATTTTCCATAGTTTTTTTGTACGTTTAGCAGAGGGTAACTTTAACTTAACTAGGGTTAGTGGTAGAAACATCTCTAGTTCGATGTTTTTTTTTCAACCAACTATATAATTATAACCAACTGTGGTGGTCCCCACCATTCACCACCTTGTGTTGCACATTTCATTATCCCTGCACGGGTTGGTGCACCAACATATTCCATATTGTTTGGTCCATAGGATTTACTGTACCCTGGCAATCTTCAAAGGAACGTGATTTTACCAAACTCATCGCCCCGTAAAAGGTGAAATTACTACATACCCACCAGATGGACCCCCAAGATTAGATGCATTATTGGACGGTCGAACAATATTTTTGGAATGGGGAAACAGTGAAACAGCACCAAGCAGATGTATTTGCAATGGTGAGTCAAAAGTTTCCATGAGTCAATCTATAGGAGTAAGAAACGGTGTTTCGTGGTACCTGATTTTATCAGTTTTTTGCTATTTGCCATGTAAACCCATGCTACTTAGAATTTGGGATTAATACATGATCATAATGTGGATGAAGGAAATCCTGCATCACCTTGGATGGTTGAAACCTTATAAATAATGGGATTTTGCCCACCTATCAAGAGGTGCAGGATTTCGCAACCATCCACCATACATCAATAAAAAACACGAACTTGGATAATTGGGGGTCTTTTGATCTATGAAGTAAAGCCCCCAAAAAGAATAATTGTATAATACTGTAAATTGTATACAGTCTATTGGATAAAAAACAATAGGAAGCCCCCAACAGATTCAGGAAAGGAATCAATTCACCCCTATCTCAATAGTTATTTTGCACCATTAAGTAGGTGAAACATATCCAATAACATACTCCCTTTATATCCTACCAAATCCCATGACATCACCATTAAATCCCATGAAATCACCATGACATCTCCTTAAAATACAATTTTTGGGTGGTGAATAGGCCCTGTTCCAGGTTTTTTTTTGGACTCAGCCCTAGGTGGTGAGAAACGTTCGGCTGGGGTGCTCGGTTTTCTGGTAATTTTTCCAGTGGATTCACATCCAAAAATTCCTGGATCCAGTTTCCAACCTGTGAATCATTGCCAGATGGTATCTCCAACTTTAGATTTATAGATGATAAAGTGGATGTTCATATATCCGTTTTTTGGAGGTTTCCTAAGTAATGGGTTACCCCCAAATAATCCAGTCGTCATGGATGACCGTATGACTTAGTCTTGAAGCCTATGGTGACTTGGGGCTTCCTCATTTTAAGAACCCCCATATTCGGATTTTACCCTCTGGTAAACATAGAAAAAACTGGAAAATCACCACTTTAATAGGTAAATCATGGTAAATCAACGAAGTAAATGGCCCATTTTCAATAGCGAAAACTGTATGCCAGGATTTACATCTCAACTGCGACAAAAGACCATGGTTGACTATACTGTATTAAGAAGCCTGCATATACGTTCAGGATCGTTCAGGTAATTCAGTGATAGCTCTGGAAAATCAGCTTTTTTTTTTTGAATCAGCAGGATTTTTCATAGTTGTGCCGCACTGCATGTTGTAAAAACGTAATAAGCACCATTTTTCATCGTTACGTTAAATGACCAGAGGCCATTTGAGCAGTGGCTGCGATCCACCCCTGGCAGGGTTGATGAGTTGGGGGATGAAACTATCTACCCAACAATGTGAGGCCCCCGTTCGATGGCGTTCAGTTGGGGTTCACATAACTCCAATTTCACTATGGTTTATGGTACAAAAATAACGAACTAGTTATTGAGGCGAATCTAAACCAACTTATAACGTTTGGGGACCCCACCTTGAATGTATTGGGGATTAGAACAATCCAAAGAATGAGGGAATCCCTAGGAACCAACCAGTCAATGGGAGATCTCCAGGATCCTAAAATGGAGGTACGTTAGTACCATGTTTGGCCATATTTTGTAGGGATATTCCCTGAAATTTAGGCCTGAAAAATAGGCCTTATATATGGAATCGGTACCTCTAATTTAGGTTCCTGAAATGGCCATTGATCCAGTATAATGGAATGATAGAGGGATGGCTTGAACACTGCTCATTTATAGATGATTTTTCCAGTAAAACCTCCATTGAGGATGATGAATTATGAATAAGTAACAAACAACATAAGTAATAATAAAACCTCCATAGTATGTTAAATGGGTCATTTTCAATAGCTATGTCAGTTTACCAGAGGGTAAACCTCCATTTTCCTATGGGTTTTCCTATGGTTTTCCTATGGTCAGTCATTACCAGAGGCCATTCGTTGTTTGGAAAAAAATGGCCTCGGCCGCTCTGCGCCACGAATCTTGCGGCTGAGGTGGGAGAAGCAACCATTAAGCAGATCTCAGGTGTCGCCAGACATTGGGCCAGACATTGTTTTTCGTGCAGATGTAACTGTAAACTATGGGTAATACATAGTCCCTATGGATCCAAACACTGTCTGAGAAGGTACTTAAGCCTCCAAATTATAGTAAATTATACCCCAAACACTTCCTAAGAAGATACTTGGATCCTATGTAAACTATGCATAAATATTGGTATATATATATAGAGATACTATTGGTATATATACAGAGTATCTGAGTCATACATAGTATATAAACTATTAGTATTGGTAATACATAGTATACTATAGTTATAGAATAATATAGTATTTACTATGTTATAGTATACTATACTATATAATAGTTATACTATTAGTAATAACTATTGTAACTATAGAATATCTGAGTTATAGAATATCCTGTGAGAATCCATGAAATATATGGAATTACCCTTTGGTAATGACTAACATAGCGAACTGGAAAATGGCCATTTATAGTTTGTATACCTATGAGACATGGTGATTTTCCATAGCCATGTTAGTTTACTGGAGGGTACCCTCTGGTTATTTAACATAGCCATGGAAAATCACCATTTTTAAGTTCGGTAAACCATCTATTTCTATGAGCCATCTATACCATGGCTATGTTAATAACCAGATGGTATAAACTATTGGTAACACATAGTAAAAAACTGTAAAAATAGAATATCTTTGAGTTATTGGTAATATTTCTACTATTCTATAGTGTTTGCAAATCTGAGTTTTAACATGTTATAACTATTGGTAATATGTATATGTATATATATATATACATATTTGGTTGGTGGTTTTAAAAAAATATATGTTCCATTTCATATATGGGATGTCATCCTTCCCATTGACTCATATTTTTCAAGATGGTTATTGCACCACCAACCAGATATATACATCTATAACAAAGTTCAACAGGACGGGCACTTTGGATCTATTTTTTTCTTGGGGCTGACGATACATTTAACGTTTTCAACAGGACGGCATAGTAGTGATGAAAATGCCAGCCTTTTGTCAGTTGCGCCTGTGGTTCAAGATATTTTTGGGAACCAATGGGATATTGGGATGTTAATATTTGGGAACAGCATATTAGGGATATGTGAATATTCTGATATTGGAATATGGGATATCTGAAATATTTGGGGTATTTGTCCATCCAGAATTTTAGTGTCAGGTTATGTAACATCAACTTTTCACATCTTTTAAGCATGAATTAACAAATTTTCGGATGATCAATTCAGGGGGCTCCCGCCAGAGGGTAATGCTGGCATACTAAATGGCAACACCCCCAACAATTCACCATTTCCAACAACCCCAAAAGTTGTTAATTCGGGATTGACTGTGCACCAAGATTGACCCACGGACAAAGTGACAAGCACCATTTACAGGTAACAAATGTCAACGGTTACCTTGTGTGTGTCGTGGTCTAGAGTTGCACTAAAAAAACCCTGGTTGGGGATTTCATTGGAATATATCCGTTATTTTTAGATTCCTAGTATGGGATAGGTAACCATACTCCATTAAGCCCATGGCAGCTGACCATGGCACGCATCCAAGTGGATCCAAATGGATTGAGATCCGAATTGCAAAATGACGCGTAAGTGTAGTTACTATGTCATTATGGTTTTACTGTAATTAAAATCTTAAAAGTTGATAAGAATGGACGATTTTGTCCTTTTGGGGGTGACAACAGCAACCAGTCGGAGTTCTTGAGGGAGTAGTCGATCCTAGGATCATGTGGATGACCGAGCCGTTTTGCCCACGTTGATAGCGTCTCTTTTTGGTGGATTTTGGACATCAGCTTCAAGCATATGTTGGAGATTATATTCTGTTGGGTCGCGCGTTGGGTTATGTTTAATTAATTAGTACATTTACTGATCCTTGTAAATTGAGGTACAGTACAGCAGATACCTCCCAAACATGGATGGTCATCATCATACTCAAACATGTCCAGTCCAAAATCCAACAAACATCTTTGGATATTATGATGACTTACATTTTGGATCCTTATTATGGATGTAAGTGATCAAAAATCCATGGATCGAACACCCAGATAAAAAATCCATAGCCCTTTGGCCCTTTGGTTCCTGTAAATTGTTGATCCCCCACGGTACATCCCGGAGCAGGTGATGCTGGGTGCGCAGCCTCAGTTGGGGATTTACCCTCTGGTAAACTAACATAGCTATGGAAAATCACTATTTTTAATGGGAAAACTCACTATAAATTGCCATTTTCAATAGCTATGTTAAATTACCAGAGGGTAAGGGATGTTTTTTTTTTTTCGATTGAATGCACCCAATGACAATATCATACAGTATCCAGAAAATCCAGTACAGGATGGGGCCAAAAAGTTCGTTAGCTAAGTTGGTGAACATAACTATAACAACAATCGTGTATGATACTTAATACTTGTATTTAGATGGGGTTATAAATCAACAAACATCTGCCTGGGGGGCACCATCCAGTAGAATGATCATCAGATTGGACTCAATTAGGATTTCGAGTTGAAGTTGAGGGTATTCCCAAAGGGAGCCCCAAGAGAAGGTGGTTCAAAAGGTCGTCAGGAAGCCAGGACTCACACACCGACTTTCTGGTGGAACATGGTGAATTTCAGCCCTCAAAATCATCCATTGAAAATATCAGCCTGGTTGGTGGTTTGGAACATTTTTTTATTTTTTTTCCATTCAGTTGAGAATGACAATCCCAACTGACTTTCACTCCATGATTTTTCAGAGGGGTAGGGCTCAACCACCAACCAGATTATTATTAACCATCATTAACCATCATTAACCATCATTAACCATAGAATAACCATATAATAACCATATAATAACCATAGAATAACCATATGATAACCATGGAATAACCATAGAATTATCATATAATAACCATAGAATAACCATATGATAACCATGGAATAACCATAGAAGTATCATATAATAACCATAGAATAACCATAGAATAACCATAGAATAACCATAGAATAACCATAGAATAATCATATAATAACCATATAATAACCATAGAATAACCATATGATAACCATGGAATAACCATAGAATTATCATATAATAACCATAGAATAACCATAGAATAATCATATAATAACCATAGAATAACCATAGAATAACCATTTATAAATTTCAGCCACCCCTCACCAGAAGCCCTGAGCCCTGCTCCGATGTTTTGAAATGGATCTCAGGATGGCACTGTCCTTTTCAGTGGTCCCGGAGGCCTGGTAGCCGTAGCCAGACGTAGCCATGGAGACCTGGAATTTATCTCTTGGGAAATGAAGCCAGGGGTCATAGATGTCCTAGATATCTTGGGATATCCCGGAAATATGGAAATATATATATATACTGTACTTATTACATCTTATTACCATAGATGTCCCAAATTCCCATTGCTTGGTTGATGAAAAAAGAGGGTTTTGAAGGTTTGCCCCTTGAACAACAGGTTTGTTTGATGATAGATGATGATAGATGGTATACCAAACCGGGCCCTCTATTTTTACCAAAAGGGCATTATTGGGGTAACATGGTGTAGCAGAAAATCAAACCATCCTGGTGAAACACACTTTCCCCTACGTCTTTTTTTGGGGTCACCCTCTGGTGGTTTGCATCGAGTCATCGAGCTAAAAGGGGACATTTCCAGCCATGGCAATGATTGTAGCGGGGTGCATGTCATGATATTCCATGATTATTCCATTATCATAAACACCCCGATGAACTGTGGTCTCAATTTTTTGTGGAAATTCCCAAGAAAAAACCATGGTTTCGAACTTGGGTGTGTTTAGTATTATATAGGGGGAAGGGATTGTATCCCCATTAAACCACCATAAAAATCTCAGTTAAATCACCGTGGCGCCTGTCCTTCGAGGTTGCGGTCCCCGTTCTGTTCTGAAAGAATTGTCACAATGGGTATCAAGCTACATGTTCGAACAAAAAAAATAAACGGCATAGGCATATATACGTTATACATTGGACATTATACAGTATATGTATATACATATGTCCGGCTGAAGTAGCATATCTATTTTTTTTCGAAAGCTTCCGCAAGAGGCTATACATACCTGGGGCGCTCTAAGTACCAGAAACAAGTGTGATATTCAACAGAACCTACTTTTTGAACATCCGGGATGGGAAAGACTTGAAAAATTGAATTATCGCAATTTTTGTCATTTCAGGGGTTCTCGGGTTTTTCACACGCTTTGGCCGGCCTTTCCATTACATAGTAAGTATGTCAACTTGGCTGAAGATATGAAAAAGGCAATCCCCAAAAAATTTGGTCGATATGTCTGAGCTAAACTCTCACGACAAGTTGAAAACAGGTTTGCCACAGTAATTTTTTGTGGAAACCCAAAAAACCCGAAACATTTATCGCGGACATTTGCGGGAAGATCGCAATTTGACAGATTTTTCAGCATGGCCATGGCCCAAGAACTTCAAGACCTCGCCTCTGAAAATCCCAAGCAATTCCCCGAATCAAAAGGTGCCCAGACTTTATTGGAACGAGGCGGCAAAACCGCGGCAAAATCCATGGATTTTTTTTGGTTTTCCGCGTTGAAAAAACCAAGATGGTCCATCGCGTTTCCTGGTATTTATTTCTTTTTGCGGTGTGTAAATATGATACCATATATACAAAGTGGGGCCCCCTAGATAGCTAAGTTTGTTTATAACTCCAATTTCACTATGGTTTATGGTACTTACAACGAACTAGTTATTGGGGCTTATAGACCAACTTAATTATAACTAGGGGGCCCCACATTGTACAATTCATCACATTATACATTATATATATGGTACTATAATGTACTATATATACACTGGTTGGTGGTTTCAAACATTTTTTTTTCCATTTCATATATGGGATGTCATCCTTCCCATTGACGAAGTCATATTTTTCAGAGGGGTAGGGCTCAACCACCAACCAGGTTATTATTAACCATCATTAACCATATAATAACCATATAATAACCATATATTAACCATTTAAGACCACCAACCATATATCTAGTCCAATGGTTTATTCGTACTATATATAAAAACCATATAATAACCATATATTAACCAACCACTAACCAACTATATAAAAATAGATACATATAGAACCACTAATAACTAACCACTATAACAACCATATAATAACCATATATTAACCAACCACTAACCAACTATATATATATATATATATTAACTAACTATAATAACCATATATTAACTATATATATGAACCAACATTTTAACCAGTACATGTATAGATACAAAAGTCGCCATGCCTCGAACTCCGCCATGCACCCGTCAGGCCGGACAGCGAGTGCGGCAGCAGTCTGTGCCAAGCACGGTGCGGATGCGTAGACTTGATCTGCGCCGGAAATGGATGGCTGGTTGAATGGGGATATAAACCAAGAATGTTGGAATATATATATATATGATATGACATGATAGGATAGAAATAGATTTAACAATCAGAAAACGGTGATTTTTCGTGGGATATTCATGGCATAAATGACTTACCAACTAATGAATCTCATCCCCCCGAGGAGATGTAAAATAGATGGAAAACAACTGGATGAGTAGTTGAACGGTTGAACCTGAGAAATAACGGAATACCCTCTGGTAAACATACAAAAAACGATGGAACCTCACCATTTTAATGGGAAAATCAACTATTTCAATGGCAATTTTCAATAGTTATGTTAGTTTACCAGAGGGTAATGATGGAATTTCACCCAGAAATGATATGAATGGACGGACTAGTGGGGAAATCAGCTGAAATTAAACAACCCCAGAAACCCTTTAACAAAGGGATAAAAACATATATTTGGAATCATAGAATGGGGATGTTTAATATGAATGGGGATTGGGATTATAATTACATAATCTTTGCATGACTTTGTGACTGTCCAAAAATGAAATGATGCAAAAGCTTATCAAATTCAGGTATTCTAAATTCAGACAAATTTAAATGGGAATGGATAAACATGTCAAGCACAGGGGACCGGAAATTGTAATATGCAAGACTATTTTAAATATCTTTGGTAGTAAGGCATGCTATGTTGGGATACTAACTTTGATCATGCCCATATCTGAGAGGGTCATATTTGAAAGTTGCTCCCTATCACAGGTACACTCTGAAAATTCAACTGGAAAACCCTCTATTTGTGCAAAATTTATTTACAAAGTGAGGCCCCCTAGTTATGTTTGTTGGTTTATAACAACCTTTAACTATAGTACATATCATGTTATATCACCAGAAACCATAGAATTCACCAAATTATATACCAACTTAGCTATCAGAAATAAACTATATATACCCTCTGGTTATTTAACATAGCCATGGTATAGATGGCCCAGAGAAATAGATGGTTTACCGAACTTAAAATGGTGGATCTTTCCATGGCTATGTTAGTCATAACCAGAGGGTATATATATATATATGTATATATATAGTTATATCATGTTATATCCCCCAGAAACCATAGAATTCACCAACTTATAAACCAACTTTGCTATCAGAAATACACTCTATATCTATATCTATCTCTGTATATATATATATATCCATATGAAATCCCATCAAATCCCAGCATTTTTCCCAGTGAAACCACCGGATGTTTCCTACGATTTGAATGGCTGCGTTGATGAACACAGGGTCACCCAATTGCTGATCCTTCCAATATATATATAGTATCCCCAAAAAGAGAAACAGTAATTAATTTATTACTATTTTGGGTGGATTTCCTTTGGGGCTTGTTATATATGTAGATACATGCTATAGTAGATTTTTTCCATGCCAAGAAAACAACACCGAAAACGGGTAGATTCATCAAACGGGCCAAAAAAAAGACGTCCAGGTTATTTCGCACCTCACGGTCGAGTCCACTTCCACGTCGGGGCGTCAGAATGGGGGATCCATTCTGAAAAATGGGTGGTAAAAATGGCATTGTTTTACCTGCATTACAAGAATAGATGTGTTTAATTGTGCTTACGTGTACATATAATTATATACATATAATTATATACATATAATTATATACATATAATTATATACATATAATTATATACATATAATTATATACATATAATTATATACATATGTAGTGGTGTGTGTTGGACCTACTGCGGTCTGACGTTGTTGATACCTTTTTTTGGTGGGCGGGCAGAAGGACGAATGTGAGGCGGATACTGAGACAAGACTCGGAATATCGCCTTCAACCAGTAGGTTTGGTGATGATAGAAGGTGACCTAAGCCTCTAAGCTGTTCTCAGTTAGTGGATCACTGTTGGTTTAACGAGTGAGTAGCCTCTGGTAATTTAATCTAGTCAGAGAGTGATGGAATATGCCCCATTTATAGATGATTTGCATTGATTTACATTGATTTACCCATTGAAATGGGATTTCTCCAGAATTCTCGCGGGAGTTTTGCTCTTGAAATTCTCTGTTCAACGAACTTCCACAGCGCTTTTCGTATCGAGCAGATCGCCTCAAATCGCCATGTTCCCAGGATTGTCTTGAAACTCTTGAAGCCCGTCTTCTGGCAGGTGCGGTTTCCCTTAAAAACACTCAATTTATGGTCCCAAAATTGGGAGAATGTCCCACTTGTTTGTGTAAACCCCTAGAAAAAACCACGGTTTTGTTTGTTTGGGGCTGTTTAGTATGTGGAAGGGATGAACATATCCCATTCATATCAGCATTAAGATGGAGCATTTCCCCATGATTCCATAATTAGTTCATACTAGGGCCATATTACATTCATAGTTTCCCCATTCATGTCCCATGAAAGGCGAAACGTACAGTAGTTAGTTGGATATTCCATATGGTTTCCATGGTTTCATTTCCATACATACACTATACATTATACCCTCTGGTTATTTAACATAGCCATGGTATCGATGGCCCATAGAAATAGATGGTTTACCTATTAAAAATGGTGATTTTCCATGGCTATGTTAGTCATAACCAGAGGGTATATATTTCATGGTTTCATATTACGCCATATTACGCCGTAATATACATCCTGGAATCGAGGATTGGGCTTCAGTTTTTTTTCCTCGCAAAGTCATCTACCAGGCCCTAGAAGAATGGTGCGAGCGACTGCACAAAAAACGGGAAACAACTTCAATAAAGGGGTTTCTTAAAAGGGGGGAATCCCCAATAGCTGGATGGTTTATAATGGAACATCCTATTGAAATGGATGATTTGGGGGTAACCCCATTTTTATGAAACCTCCATATGATCGAAAGGAAGCCCAGATTCTGGCTTTGAATTTGACACCAAGGTGGAGATGCTGTGTTGAAGCGCGAAACAGAAATGAGTCCGGCGGGAAAAAATACAGGCCCCCAGGCTCCAGAAAAAGGAAAGCAAGACGCCCGACTTGAAGGAGTTGCACAACAAGGAAAAACTCGTTGAATAGACTGATGCTTGGTGGTTAATGGTGGTTAATGGTGGTTAATGCTGGTTAATGCTGGTTAATGCTGGTTACTTGACAGATCAGAAAAGGAAGCAGTTCGCAGTGCCGCAGTGCACACCATATTTTTCCATTCTCCAACTGGCCAATGGGATGACTTCCAGTCCAATGAGTTGCATTATCTTTTAATCGTAACACTTCAATCAAGTATAAACCTATAATATATATATATAATATATATATATTAAACATCAATAGACGCCATTAGGACATAACTATGATATAACAACGCTAATTTAGGCTTCCATATTTTTTCCACATAACCAGGGGGTGTCCTTAAGACGTTAGATCGGTGGATGGGCCCCTGGGTTATTGCAGCGCATAGGATCTGCAAGGATAAAGATCGGAGGCCTGAAATCAGCGAAATTCTTCCGTTTGGTAAGTCTGAAAAATGAATACTTGTCTCTAATTTTTGTACCAAGCAAAAAGGCAGCCTCAATTAATTCATGTCTATTGTTATATCATAGATCTATATATCCGATTCATTCCGATTCCCTCGTGAATAGATGTTACATCAAGGGCTATTTCAGGTCAGTTTATGGGCTATTCTATGTGCATGGTCCAAAGATGGGCGTTCTACCGCACTCGAACGGGAAATCCTATTCAGAAAATCATGATAAGCTGGTTGGTGGTTTGGAACAGCCGAGTTGGCCCGAACCTCCCAGGGGTACGGTAGGGCTAGCAAATCTCGGGTTGGTCTGTTCATTTTGGTTTGCCATGGCCCGAACGTTTCCCATGGACTGGTCTGAGCTTGATCAAGGATCCAATCTTTCACTGGTTTGTAAGACCCTCCTTTTCGATGTGGAGCATGAACGACATGTGATGGTGGCTTTTCCTTCTAAGAAGAAATTTCATCTTACTGGTCTGCTTGAAGCGGGGTTTGAAAGCTACACTTTGTTTGATGCCAAACTGGTGACGCAATTTCCAGTACCATTGGTGGCCCTTTCCTCTGCCAGCAGTGTCTTGGGGCACAAGGAAGTGACATGGGATAGCCTCATGTCGGTGATCGATATGTGCTGTGGCTTCGGGGGTTTTTCTCAAGGGATTTTGCCATGTGGTTTTCACACTTCAGTTGCTGTTGATCATAACGACAAGATGCTTCGGCTGATTTCCAATGTTTCCAATGTGCCTTTGGTGTTGGGGGATGTCGGTGACAAAGCTACCATTTGTATGACCTGGAAAGAATCGCAGGGATCTCGCACAATGACAGGAGGGTTCAGCTGCCAACCGTTTTCGTCCCTCGGAGACGGGAAAAGTTCGGCTGATTCGCGTTCCAGCTGCCTGACAAAGCTGCTCCATGCAGCCTTCTTTTTGCGTGTACATATCGTAGTATTGGAGTGCGTTGCACCTGCAGCTCAGGATTCCTTTGTGAAAGCAGAGATTGAATATTTTTGCAATGTCACTGGATTCTTTTGCACGCAGCGATCCATGAAGCTCGATCAGATTTGGCCATGCAGAAGACACCGATCGTTTTGGGTTTTGTCATCACCTCTGGTTGGTGAAATCCTTGTGCCAGAATTGTTTTGCCCACACGTGGTTCCTTCAGTTGAAAACCTTATCCCTTTCATTTCTCCTTGGGACCAAAATGATGAAGATGCTTTGAAACTCTCTGAATATGAAAGAAATGTGTTTGGAGGGAATGATGGGGATTTTTCGAACTTTCTGCTGAATGCCAAGGGAGTCTCCCCTTGCGCTTTGCACGCCTGGGGAAACCAACTGACCGAATGCCCATGTGGATGCCGCCCGTGTGGACTCTCTGCACACCGGCTTGCTGAAAAAGGCCTCTTTGGCCTCCTTGTACAAAGTGCGGTTGATGGCAATGGGGTGTCCCACATCCGGCATGTTCACCCGAGTGAGGCAATGGCACTGAATGGAATGGACCCGACGTTGGATTTTGGGCTTAACCCAAGATTGACCCTTTCTGCTGTTGGACAACTTGCCAGTCCTTTGCAGGTGGTCTGGATCATGGCTGCTGTTTTGCATCAAATTGTCCAGTTGCGATTCGGCAAAGTTGACTTTTCAGCGGAAACCCAATTGCAAGCATATATGTCATGGATCATCATGAAGTGTGGTCAGGTTTGGCCTCCAACAAGTGATTCCCCCCAAGTGGACAAATTTGCTTCGCTTTTGAAATGTTGGGAACCAGTTGAACATTTGTCCCTCGAAGAGTTGATGTTTCCTCAAAGATGGGTCAACAGAATTGAAGGGCAGGTGACTATTGCTGCCATTCTGGACGTCCTTTTCCGTGACGCACAGCAGAAACCATCCCTCCCGTTGAGTTGTGACTTGGATGAGGATACCCCTATGGAAGATGCTGAAACTCCTTGGTTGGATTCACCCTGCATTACTGATGATCCCACAGCATTTGCTGGCATTGATGCGGCCTTCTGTACTGTGATTTTTGATGAAGAATCTCAAGCGCCTGTGAAAATCAATCCTTTGGTGGGGTCCACTTTGCAAGAGCTCATTTCCGCCCATGTGAAACTTGTAGGTCCATGCAGTATCCAAAGATGCGTTGATGGCAATGGCCAAAGTTTGCCATTGAACCATTGCCTTGCTGTTGGGGAATTGATTCATGTGACCTTGCAGTCAGTGCCTGAACAGATGCCAGGTGTCCCCGCTCATGTAAAGGAACCTGCACCGACAAAATTGGATGCTGATGTCTCTTTGACTGCGGAGTGGTCACAACCGGTGGCTGAGTGTGTAGGCAAACCTTCAGTGTTTGACATTGGGGAGTGTTCAGTTTCACAGATCCACAACCAAGCTGAGTGGTTGAATGCTGATCCGCTTTTGGGTTTGAAAGGAGACCAGTTTCTCATGCTGTCCACCCCACAGATCGCCAATCCTCACCAACTGTGGTCAGTACGCAACCAATTTCTGCAGGTGAAAGACCGAATGAACATCCTTGAAAACCAAGGTGCAATTTGTTCCGATGATGAACTCAGGTTTCACTTGTTTGCACTCAGCCAAAAGTACATCGAAGTCCAGGTCAAATTTTCCAATGATCCAGTCAAGCAAATGGTCACCATTGACCCATTGATTGCCTCAGCTTGGTTACAGGGGAAAGCGTTCTTGTGTGAGAACTGGGGGAAAGATCATGGATTTGTTCATGCTCAGTTGTTGCCACTTGCCACTGTTTTCAAGTTGGGATCACATTGGGTCCCTGTTGCTATGCATCCGGTAGGTGACACCCTGAATGCTTTTGTTTGGGATGCAGATGGTGGTGACCATCTTCAACTGAATGAAATCATTGAAAGGTTGGGTTTGCCCATGGGATTTGTGACGGTGTGCATCCAAAGGGATCGGCGTATGTTCTTCACATCCGAATTGTGTGGCACTTTGGCAATTGCATATTTGCACAGCATGTTTTTGCAAGCTCAGCTGCCTGCAAACCATACGGAGACCTCTCAACGATTTCTTCTGTATCGTGAGGAGTTTGTGAAGTCCTTGTCCTCTTGTGACATCACCCGCAGACCATGGGTTTGGGCTAGTGGAGATCCTGCTTCAAGTAGTGGTCCAACGCCTGCACCAAATGACTCCATCCAATTGCCTGACGCTGCTGCGTGACCAAAGGCTTGATCTCATGTCCGAACACAAAAATGCTGTTGCCGATGATGAAATCCGTTTTCACATTTTGCATATTATTGCCAGGTACCATGAAATTAGGTCTCAGCGGAATCAGGAACCTGATGCAAAATATCTTTTCTTTGAGCCGCTGGTTTTCACATGCTGGGAATCCATAGGCAGAACCATCTCTGCCAGATGGTGCGAACGAAATCCTGAAGTCCGGTCACAGGGCAAACAAATCCTGACTGCATTCTTGCTCGAGAATCATTGGTTCCCATTTTGGATTGTGCCGCATGAGGATTGCCTGACTTTCCATACGATTGCACATGAAACTGCCGATGCCCAGCAGTTCCGTGATGTGTGTGCCTGTATTGGACAGCAACTTGGATTCCCTCTGTTTGCGTTGCATATCTCACCCTCGAGATTGCCCAGCCACGACATGTGTGGCACAGCCGCAATGATGTTCTTGGCTCACATTGTCCACGGTGCGACAATGCCTGATGATTT